AGCAGGGCTTCTGATCGATCGAAAAATTTTTAGATCGTCGGCGAATAGTAAGCAGCTCGAATTGGTAATAACCTCTGGTAAATCATTGACCATGATGATGAATTCCAGAGGCCCAAACGTACTTCCCTGGCTTACCCCTGACCTGACAAAATATGGTTCAGACTTGTATCCTGCGTACTCAACATACTGGCATCTGTCAGTCATGTAGCTTGATAGGAAGTGCAACATATGCGGAGTACATCCAACGCCAGCCAACTTCTTTAGCAATATGTCATTATCCACGACATCAAACGCCTTCCTAAAATCGAAATAAGCGACATCTACTTGCCCTCCACTGTCCACTGCCGGTACGAGCTTTGTCATGTAGGTAATCAAATTACTCGTTGTGCTGCAGTCCGGCCGGAAACCGTGTTGTGCTTCTGATAGTTGCGCCTTTACTTGATTATACATGGTCATTTGCAATGCGGACTCAAAAACCTTGGCAGGGGTTGACTGTATTGCTATCGGCCTGTATCCATCTACCCCCTTACCTGCTCCTGTCTTTGGCACCGGAACTACACGAGTTGTTTTCCACCTTTCAGGAAAAACTTCGTTCTTTAGACATAAGTTGAACATATATACCAGCGGCTCAGACAATACAAGCCTGCAGTCCCGAAAGATAAATGCAGGGATACCGTCAGGTCCGGCAGACCGTTTCGGTTTGAGTTTCCCTAAAGCTCGTTTAACATCTGTTAATTGGAGTCTGTCAATGTCTATTCGCGCTGATCCATTCTTACTACCTGATTCAGCTACTGCTGAACTCACGTTGAGTTTAGCGGGTACCGTACTGTATACCGACTGAAAAAAATCTGCTAGCTCTTTTGCGCATTTCTCCCCTTCCAGTACCACCCCGTCTTTAACTATCTCTCGCAAATTATTATTTTTCCTTTTTGAATTTACATAATTCCAAAATTCTTTTGGATCCTCCGATAAATGTCTTTGAACCCGATCCTGATACCGAGTTTCGGCTTTTTGAATCATGTTTTTCACCCGTGCCCTACATATAGAAAAAGCTTCGTAATCAGTTCGCAATTTGCTCGCTTTATACCTCTTATGAAGAGCAGCCTTTCGTCTTATGTTGCGAATTATTTCAGCATTGTACCATTCGGGGTAATTGTACCTCGACGTTACATGCCTTCGCTTTTTATTTGGTACACAGTCATCTAAAATATTATTAATATTACTATAAAAATAGTTCAAACACTCGTCTATATCACTTAAATTATACAGCGGAGTCCAGTCTACAGAAGTTAATGTTGCATATAATAAATGATAGTTAGCTTTATTAAAGTCCCATTTTGTTTGATACGATTGAATATCGGTATGAAAAACGCCCCCACCAGTCTGTTGCAGTTGTGTATTGTGCCGCGAGTTACCTACTAATGTTACCGATATATCAAGTGGTGGATGGTATGCGTCAATCGAAACCAACGGCTCCGACGCGGCGCATACAGACACACACTTGTCCATAGACGTCAATACTAAATCTAATTGGCGATTATTGCAATTAGCTATTTTGTTTCTCTGAATGAATCCATAATAAGTCTGTAAATACTCAAAATAATTGCTAAGAAATGAGGTACAGGAGTGTAGGTTAAAATCGCCTATAACTATTACTTGCCTATATTTAACAGATAATTGTTCTATAATTTTAAATAGCATCATGTATTCATTTTCTTTACTATTCGGTGGAATATAGACAACACAACACAAAAATAAAAGTCTATTGTGTGAGTACACAGTAGCACAAACCAGTTCAAACATCTGATCGGTGACGTTGACGTCACCCGGTATAGGTACATTACGCAGCTCGAGACGCGGTGTGGCCACGAGAAGAGCGCCGCCCTGTTTACGCCCGTCAGTTCGATCACTGCGCAATATTTTGTAACCTGGAGGGATTAGTTCAGCGTTCTTAATGGATTCATTACAACCCGTTTCTGTAATCGCAAATAGATCAGCAGCCGAAGATGCAACACCTGCGTAAAAAACTTCTAGTTTTGTGCGAAGGCCTCTAACATTTTGATAGTATACTTCAATTATTGTGTGGGGACTTTCTTTTTGTATCGTTTGGCTTACGAAACCACACCCATTCACAAAATTCCACGTTGATAGGCCAGGCGTCTGGTTCACACAATTTTATGTAAACGCTTTCCGGAACTCCTATCACAAATGAAGCATAATCCCTCTCAGTTTTATGTCTTATTTTTTCTACCTTTATTGCACATTCCTTACCGCATAACTTCTTAACATAGCTTTCTAAGTTTTCCGTAGTAGTATCTTTGTGTAGACGCCATACATGCAAATATTTTTTGCGCTCAGTTCCCTGTATTTCTACAGAGTTTATACTTCCGCCTCTTTTTACTTCTGCATTGGGATATCTAGACCTTCTCTTTCTTACTTCAGTCCAGTTATTTTCATTTAAATTCTTTTCCTTTGTTGCTACCGATTTTGTAATAAATCTTGTAATTTCCATGTGGGCTTCATCACCTCGTGACTTGTTCTTCACTGATACGCTCGCCTGCTTTATGGCCTCACTTGGTTTTGTGACTACCGCCTTTATATTTTTTGCGGTCATTTTTGCAAACGATTCTGATGTTTTACTTACATCTGAAGATGTCACAGGATTTTCTTCTTTGTTCTTCATGTCACTAATATAGGCTTCGAGGTGTTCATTCCTACTTTTTAACACTTTTATTTCATCTTCTAATCCGTTAATTTTATTTGCTTTTTCTTGTACTACCGTCATAGTTCTCCGCAATTCTTTTAATTCCAGTTCATTTTTAAGAAATTGATTTTGTAAATGCTCGAATGCAGCCATTTGGTTAGCCAGTCTAGTCACCATATCGATTCGGAATTCTCGCATCTCTTCTAAAACTTTACTTTCATTTTCTATCAACGATGTTTCCGCTTGATATCGATTACCCCGCGTAGTGTTGACATAATAACCGGGGGTAAAAGGTTGATTTATGATGCTTCCTCTGACTGGAGTATCTGAGTTGTCTCGCTTCGGGTTAGAACACACACATTCTGGACATACCCATTGATTTCTGTATTCCTGAGTTAGTGCTTCAAATGTCTCCAAGGACATAGCCAGACACTTTAGGTGAAATAACTTTTTACATGCTTCCCTTGAACACTCCATGTAAGAAATATCATAAATTATGGCCTCGCAGCCATTACACTTCGTCTCCATTTAATTGCACTTTAATTAATATTGATTATCCAAAAACACGTCCGTTCCGTACTATGACTACCGTCCGTTTTTTTCATCCAAATCCGTCACAATGGATTGTTATATAATTAACGCCTAGGTAATAATCACATTGAACTTACGAAACTGGACATTTGGTGAGCAAAAAGTGAGTCTTTTGCTCAACTGTAGGACACTTTGCTGAACAAATAAAATATACACAGTCGAATTTAATTCTTTTTAAAAACACTTAATAAAAAATTGGAAAAAATATTTATCGGCCACATTATACACGTCTAATAGATATTATTTATTGGGTTTAAACATTGTTTTCTTGGGCCCATCTTTGTTTGAAAAGCTTTTAATAATTTTGTTAATTTTTTTCTAATTTTAAGCAACATATGCATGTTAGCCCGCAAATCCATACAATTAAAATTTTACTTACGGTAAACCTTATTCCAGATACCCATTATATAAAAATATAAAAAAACATAGCTTTCCAATTCTAACAGAGTCAGAAACTAGTAATTTAGTAAATGAAAGAACGGAAATGAGATAAACGAAAGAGACATTTATTAAATAAAATTCACTCAGAATATACAAACATATATAAAAAACTATTTAAAAATAACACAGGTAAAAGTAATAAGTAACTAAATTTAGAACGTGGAAACTGGTACATATTTTAAATGCATTACATGTCTACATTTTAAATATTCAAAATGCCATAATGCTAAATGTGAAGTATAATACAAGCCAATATTAGATTTTCTAATATTTGTTAGAAATAATGTAACGCCACACTCCTATACAATAAAAATTAATAAGTTATAACAATTAATACAGGTTTACTTAGGCTTGCGCAGTGTCAAAATCAAAAGCAAATAATTTGGAAATATAAATATTTTCGCGCCTCATTTTAAATGCTATATAATTTAATAATTTGTTTCAAAGTCGTCGTACGTTACTAAGTAATTACATTTCCGACCACATAGGTAAATTAAATTAAAACAACTGTAGCACTTAATATAAAAAAATAAAATAAAGTATTTACATACTTGCCTTCGCATCAAATACATTAATGCTGAAAAAAAAATTACATAACATATATTCCAAATTATAACCATATTCTCAATTTTATTCAAATTTGGACTATAAAGCAACATTTACGATACACAGTAATTTTATTTTAGAACCCACACAATTGTCCACGCCATATTTATTAAATCTGACTTGTATCACAATTCAATCACAAAGTTTTTAATATATGGATAGTGCCATAACATAAAAATGTGTCGAATATTACAGCTATTGTTTATAACAATTATTTGTTTTTAATTATTATAAAGAAAATTTGTACACAGATAAAACTAATAGTAAGTAGTTGTGACAACTATTATTATTTTGGCGCCAAAATATAAAATACTAAAAAATAAATACTACAACTAAAGGCTCATCATGAACTCTTATTCTTATTACATAGATTTCTCAAATTTATAGCCACTGTATTACGTCATTGAACTATTTGCCTGACTCGTGAAAAGAAAAAATAGGACGATATAGGGAAGAATGTTTGACTTACATACATACATACAAATTATTTACGTATGGTTCTAGTCGATAATTATTACCCTATCTTAATCTACACATATTAAGTGTACATTAAGTACATACCAATTCTGTCCCACAATTCACCTACAGAATAAAAAAAAACACATATAATATTAAAACCTAAAACAAAAACTCTGAACTGGATGAAGTAGTACGAAATTTGACACGGTTAAAGTTTATAATGGGCAAGTGCAAAAAGTATGTATATATGTATGCATATTAAAAAATATATATACATACTACCATTCATTTGGCACACATATACATAGACAATAGAATTAATAAAAACTGAATAAGAGTTCGTGACAATCCTTCTGGATTCTAATACTGTCTCTTTTAAATGTTATTATACAAAACGCTCCAAATTCACATTCCATTTTCAAATTAATGCACAACAAAATTTACTCTTTTAAAACATACATTAACGTGGTATCCAAATACCCCATTAATAAAATGTATACAATTTGTAAATAGACGTGAAAAAAGGTTAAAATAGCGTTTATACTGGTATTTTGTTGTGCAGCATTTTGAATCGTAGTCTTTTATTTATTTATGTGACCAATACATAAATAAATAGCTCTTATAAATAAATGCGCGTAACTAAATGTTTATTTATAAATTCAACTTCAGACTCCATTTATCCCTCTTTTATTCAACGATGCTATCCTAGCATTCAGTTCTTTCACTAAATCCTCCCTTTGTACCTCCTCTTCTTGCCTTGAAACAATGTCTCTTATCTTCACCATGCCTCGCTTCAATTCCGATTCTCCTAATACTACGGCGAGAGGTATACAACTATCTTCACAATGCTGTAGCTGAGTCAGCATCTTAGGATTTTTCTTGTAGGACTGCTCAGTCTGAATGAACATAAATACAATTAATTGTATTAAAATTATTATTTGTAATTATATAATTAATAATTATTTATTAATTTGTACAATATACTAATACAAATATAAAAAATACATATGTACAATTTTTTTAGTTATAAAATTTATGTGAAAATATACACTTCGGCATTTATATTTTAAAAGATATAATGTCTATGATCTAGTCTGTGGTCCTTGTCTCTCATAAACCGATACAAAAAGTTTTATAAGTAATAGTTTTTTTAATAAGATTTCACCTTCATTAATCTATTTTATTCAATGAGGCACACTTGAATCAATCAATTAATTTTATTCCTATAAGTCTTCTCTAAAAACTATAGTCATTAAGACATTAAGGCATATGTCGTAAAGTTCCCTAAAGAATAACTTCAATGCTACATACTTCCAAATATTAAAAATGTCTTAGAATTTTATAGTTCGTACTTGAAACTAAATTGTTCTACTAATAAAATCACCTATTATTATATTAAAACAATTGATACTAGTATTGATCGAAAATTATAGTGTAAGAGCCTATACTACAACTAGTTGAACCGTTAAGTAGCTGAGTATGAACGAGAATATAATATAGGTATTTTAAATAAAAACCTTAATGCCGGCATTCCACAATTCAGTACAGATCTTCATTCGTTCCTCGAGGAAATTTTTCTGCGCTGATGCGACATACACGTCCACTTCATTGGTGCGTACGCGCATCTCGCCGGCCGCCAACTTCGCCTCAAGAACTGAAAAGATGCGCTCAACGCCGATACTGACACCTACACATGGAACCTGCAATAATGTTAACACATATAAATAATACCCTAATAATTGTAAAGATACATATATTTTCCTGTGACAAGGAAATAACATGCACACATAAAAAGAACTAATTATGGCCTTTGGACATGAACAGCACCATAGATATAATAAAATACGCAATACTCTCTTTTTTCGTACTGGTGCCACTGAAAACTAGCAGCATAAACATTTATATATCTACAGCATTATTGGTGTAGCCATTTAAATTAAGGCCACAGAATACTTTATTACAGAATCCATATATACAAAATTCACTCAGCAGGGTAGTATGAATACAAATTAACACAATACATTCATTATTGCAAAAACTGTACTTTTATGTATATAAATTTATTTTTAGCAATACATTTTCCTTAATGGCTTACTTACTAGCACCACAAGTATTTGAGCCTTCTAAAACATAATACCTGCATGTCCATAAATTAAAAGGCCTGACGTTCATGTTCTTGGCAAGAAATAATATAACAATTAAATTTCCGATTAAGTTCCCATATCTTCTAAATACTTTAGTTTAATGTTAAAATCTATACCTGTTTATTCTTAGTGTCAAACATCCCAACAAGGTTATCATATCTACCTCCACCAGCTATAGATCCGACTGATTGTTCTTCATTACCGATTTTAATTGGCTCTGAAATTAAATATTTATAATTAGCTTAATAACGATAAAATTATACAAAAGTGGTTATTGCTAAAGAAAATTACTTGGTTATTGCCTAAGTTGCACAAGTAGCTGATATTAATCTGTCTTCGTTCCAATTTACTAACAAACGGAAAACTCCAACCTTATATTTCATTTATAATTATTAGTTTCATACATGAACATAACTTTTAAAGACTTGACCTCATTAATAAATAAATATATTCCGTTTCTTTGTCTCAGCTATTTATTCTATTAGCATATTCAATCTGATATTACCAAAAGCATCTGTTTTTTTTGGTAATATCAGATTGAATAAATATGCTAACTAATTACAAAATTCCTATAAACATTTTTCTTTAATACATTGATTACATATTCTATGTTTTCATACTGAATTACAGGACAAAACAATTACATTCGTGCAACAGATGGAAATTCTAAATAGAACTATATTGAACTGCTTAATAAATTGCTAATAGTAGGATTTATCCTTCTCTTATAAAAATAATAATACCCAGTAGTAAATTGAAATCAGGTTATTTTAATGCATATCTGCATTGTATAATCATATTTACTGTGCATATGTATATTTTTCTTTTAATAAACAGAACTTGAGAGACCCAATTTCATGATACATTGAAAGATAAATTTCATTATTAGATTAAATACTTGCCAGTTAAAACAGCTTCATAAATTACACCAGTGTAATAATCCAATCCTCTAGCTAAGCTTAAGTCGAAAACAATTTTGTCCTTAATTCCAAATAATTCACAATATTTTAATAATAGCATAATGCCCTCAAGTCCTTCAATTGCCGCTTTAGTGTTGGACAATTTCTCATCTTTCAATAACTTCTCGGCTAGTTCGACTCCACCATTTAGAAGTACATATTTTCCTATTCTGTCTGCTGCATCAGGTGATACACCTTTTTCATTTATCATTTCAGTTCGGACTTCTTCCCATGGTGACTGAAAAATTTATAACATTTTCCATTATCACTGAGCTAATAATTACATATAAATTTTGTTTTTATCACAAAATACAATAATAACATAGTACATAAATGTGAAAATAATATTATTTTGTGTTTGCACAACGTAATAAAAAATTAAGTAGAAAAAAAACACTCACCTTGTCAAGTTTATCTACAGAGGAACAGGTTGGACGAAATTTATCTGCTGGTACACCACATGCCTCAAACATGCCATCAAGTAATCTTCTGTGATTCACCTTCAGTACATATTTACCTATATCAAGGGCGTCCAATATCTCTGTAACAGCTTTAAGACATTCCGCATCAGGTACCATCAAATCATATTGACCAGCTATATCAAAGTCCTGGAATTTTAATAATATTTATTTATTATTAAAATTTATATAAATGTATTATCTTCACTCCACATTCTTATTGATAAATCAGTAACATTTAAATATTACTGTAAAACTATATAATATAAGGTAGTTAGAAATACTTGTGTCTCATAGTCTCATGTCAAGTGCATTTGATTCCAGACAACATGTTTAAATTTGCCATGCCCACCCCTATCTATTAAATGAGCCTAGCCCCATAGGTTACATTAAGGGTGTATATAAATTTACATACGCTTAGTACAATACGATTCAAATACACGACCTTGAATTACCTAGTAATTAGGGTACTAAACCAATATGCTACTAGTTTTTATTGATAACTGGAATTATCAGTAAGGTCAGTGTGATTCACGCACGATTGCCCCTTACCGAGGCTAAGTGCGGAAATGCCAGGTCAAAGTATAGTCAGTGATAAAGAAGTAATTTACTCATATTTGTTGAATTGCATGTAAATTTATAGTATTTCATTTTTTTAATTTATATTGGAATAGAGGAATCCATTGAGATAGAAGGCTCAATAGGAGATAGCTAATTACAGTAGTGTACCTAAGATTCGTTAACAAAGTAAAGCAACATACTATGTGCGAAATGAAATATTAATGTAATACACTATCTTTGAAATTAAATTCATCTATATATATATAATTGAAACTAGTGATCTATCAACGCACAACCCAAACCACTGGACAGATCGGGCTGAAATTAGGCATGCAGGTAGATGTTATGACGTAGGCATTCGCTAAGAAAGGATTTTGATTAATTCTACCCCCAAGGGGATAAAATAGGGGATGAAAGTTTGTATGAAACTTTGTCAATTTTAAACCGATCGGGCCATGAATTTGCATGCATAAAGCTACTATGACGTAGGCCCTAAGAAAAGATTTTGATAAATTCCACCCCTAGGGGATAAATTAACGCGAGCGAAGCCGCGGGAAAAAGCTAGTATAAAGATAAATATCAGTATACACATCACATCCATATACACAGGTAAATCTGGGTTTTAAATTTCTGTAAAAGTAGTATAGCCAACCTACATGAATAAATAGATGTTTCGTAATAAACTGCATTACCTAAATATAAATTTTTAAAAGTAGCCTTTAAGGTTAATAAAACTGTAAAGTTGATTACACAATATTAATTTTCAGCTAATACATTTTTTTATGTAAATTAGTAATTGCTCATATTTTTACAAATATATGAATGAATATCAAAGTAAGTATAACTTACACATTGGTAGAATTCTCTGTATCTGCCTCTTGTCATTGCTGGATTGTCTCTTCTGTAGACTTTTGCAATATGATAACGCTTAAGTGTTGTGATTTTATTCATTGCCAAATATCTTGCTAAAGGCACAGTCAGGTCATATCTTAGAGATAAAATTTCTCCTCCTTGATCTTTCAAGTCATAAATCAATTTTGAATCTTCACCATATTTACCAGTTAATACATCCTGTAATCACAAACAAAATCAATATCATTACATAGTATTCTGTTACATTGTATATATACATTATGTATATTTTGTTTAAGAAATTGATAGCCATAATAATCATATTAGCTTAACTTATATAGCTTAACAAAAACACAAAAGACATAATTTTGTTTAAAATTTAAACAAAATTATTTCTATACAGGACAATATATAAAATTAACACTTTTTTATTTACCATAAATTAAATAGAAAAACAAAATATTAAATTTAAATGAGAATCAAGGTAAAGCTAGCAATCCTTCTATGAATATACCATTACTGGCTAATATAATAATAATAATATAAAAATCATGTCAGATGAAATTTTTAATGAAACAAGTGAAAGAATCAGATAGGTTATGTAATATGTGATTGTTGTCTATTACAAAGTATTTAGAAAACAATGTATTAAAGTAGATGAAGTTGAGTGTAAGTAATGAAATTATAAGTAATACTAGTGTGTAAAATGCATTAATTTAACTAAAAATGATATTAATAATTCAATTAAGTATTAACCTTCAATTCAAAAACTGGTGTATCTATGCATTCAGCACCATGCTTCTTGAAGACTGTAATAATTTCTTTGGAGTACATTGTTTCTTATTGCCATCTGTTGTGGATTGTAATCTCGAGTACCCTTTGGTGTCTTAAGAGTAAACTTTTGTGGTACTACATCCTCCACAGTTAGCTGCTTTTTAAGTGCCAATAATTTTTTCACCTCTTCTTGAATCTTAAAAAATAACACAGTTAACATATTCTTCTGAAAATAAACTGCAACTAGCCTTAAAACATTAGGAATATATTTTTAAAAAATTATGTTTCATTTAGATATTAAACTTATAAATAAAATAGTACTAAAGTGGAAGAGAATACAAAATTTAATATGTTTAACTGAAATATTACACTACTACTATTTATTAAGGTGTGAAGAACTACAAAAAATATTATAAAAAGTATAGCTATCTGTTTTAGTCTAAGTCTTTCAAAATTGTTGACTAATGAACCATGCACTACTTTCCAATACCTTGTAACAAGCAGTTGTCGAAATACTTTTGGTGAAACTGCCATTATGAAAAAAGTTGCATAACTGCAACACAGCTTTGTGGTTTTTTGAAAATTTCAGCGCTTTGAATAACATGCTTCAGTAATATTTTTAAATATCTTAGTAAAAAAAAACCACTCAATATGATACTTCAACACCACTGCATTTGAGTAATTGAGAACCGGAAAAAGAAAACATACCCATTGCAATATCATGTCTTATATTTAAACAAAGAATAATAGATAAATTTTAGGTATATCATCATAAAAAAGTGGTGAAAAGGAACCATATGAGGAGATTCAACTGCATATAATTAAGTTTGCGAGGGGTGTACCAATGAAAAAATAAAGTGCCACAGAATTAATAAACTAAGCAAGCTTTTATATACAGACTCTAACACAACAATGCCACTTTAACAATTTATTAACAAACCTGGTCATCACACACATTATTTTCGATATACATTTTAGTGGGCAGTACAGTCATTGGGAATAATTCTATTTCTGAGTCACTGTAACTCCGCATATGGTACCACCACCTCCTCAAATATTTGTATCTGTCAAAATCTTTATTTTTGCCTATGCTTTTATACAATTCGACATCACAGTTACTAGGTACATAACCACAAATATAACTGTAGCTACACAAGTGTCTATCAATTTCTTTGAGATCATACTCTTTTACAGTCTTCTTGGCCTATAAAATTAAATTCTATGTTTTAATAGCGCATGAAACTGTGCAGATGAGGTAATATCAAGTAGTTTTTACTAATAAATGTTGCGAGTTGCAACGTCGTAAGGACAGCGTCGACAAAGACAATGTACTTCTTGCTATCGCCTTTTAACTGGATCATAAATCTAATAAAATACAATATAACTAACCTTTTCATTTGCTTCTTTTGCAGCTTTCAATTTTCTGACCAGATCACCCTGTTCTTTTATTTTTTGAAGTAATATTTCTTGAGACTCTGCCATCATTAATATTAAAGTTAAGTTTCATTCAAAACGTCCGTCTAGTCACGGTCACAAATGCAAGTACAGTAAAAGTGCTTAGAGATAATTGCAGGTCAGCGTTTCAATGGAGTTGCTTTCATTTTTCTATGCATTACAGCAGCATGGCAAACGGCATGGAATGGCATGAATAGTTGACGGATGGACGACTGACAATGATACTGACAGACATAAATCACAGCATAGAGTAATACCACAGGCGCACCACCGCCTTGTGCATCAGCTAAGAGTTTTTTAATTATAATAATGACAAAATGACCTTTGCCAACAAGACCTTATGCTTAATAAGTTTAAAGTCTATTTCAATACTTGTTTTGTACTTTGACTATGCTTCTTAATACAACTTTCTCAATTCCAATTAATAATAAACTTTTGGCACGGAGATTTTATGTAATGAGATAATACCTCTATAGAAATAAATTTTAGAGATAACTTTAAATTTCAAAATACATTTAATTGTTTGACAGAGTGTCAGTATCCGCTAGGATAATAATGTTCTGGGACTTTTTGGCGGGAAGTCAAATAGAGCGGGTGTTTTGAATGTTTTTCCTTTATTTTATATTTTATTTATATTCAATAATTTGTATATATAGGTACAACTAACATAATTTGTAGTTAATTACAGTCCTAAAATGGGAAGTAAGCGCAAAAAGCGCAAAGCCGATGATAATTGCTCCCCAGAAAATTCGAGGGATGTCGACAGTCCAGATTCTGACTCCTCAATGGATGAGGATAAGTATAAAGTTTTTAAAATCGATAATTACTGTCGCCAATATCCTGAGGATGGAGGAAATTTTGAATATATAGTTATTTATGAAAGTACCGATACGAGGCCTTTAGGCGACAGAGACCTTATGTCCCTTGGCGCCTGTCTTAAGCGCCAAAGCAAGGGTATAAAACGTTTCAAGAGAATTAATAAATATAAAGTTGGAGCCATTTTTGAAAGGCCAGGTTTAGCCAACATAGCATTAAATAACACCAAAGTACAAAAAGATTTACATGTTAAAGCCACAATACCTGCAACATTAACAGAAATAACAGGGGTCATAAAAAACGTACCTATATACATGTCAAACAAAAGTATTTACAATGGTATTTCCAGCTCCAGAGACGTCGTCTCGGTGCGCCGGTTTATGCGAAGAAGTCGTGATGAAGATGGTAACACAAGTTTTCTGCCCACCCAATCAGTCGCCATTACCTTTGCCTGTCCCACACTCCCTACGAATGTCGATATCAACTCATGGTATTTCGAGGTAAGCGCTTACACCCCACCAGTAACACAATGTTTAAAGTGCCTGAGATATGGCCACATTGGTAAATTTTGCAAAAATACTCAACGCGTTGCTCAATATGTGGAGAAAACCATCATTTTAAAGATTGCACTAAAAATAGCACAGAAGCTGTATGTCTTCACTGTAATGGTAACCATATAGCTATCTCAGCTGAATGCCCAATTAAAAAGAAGAAAATACAAGAAAACAAAATAAAACATAAGACTGTTCCTTTCTCTAGTTTATTTAATGAAAAATCTTTTCCATCTTTAAACACTAAAACTAAACCTACTGACAATATTAACACATTATTGCAAAATGATGACTTTTTAAAACTAATCATTGCATCAGTTATTAAAATTATTTCTGTTAATAAAACAGATGACTCTCCCTTAAACTCAGAAGGCATAAAAAACATAATTTTAGATACTTTTAAGATTTCCAGTACTAACACTAATTAATAGTATCTCTTTAATGGATAATATTTTAAATATTATCGAGTGGAATGCCCAGAGCTTGATAAATAATAGACTTGCTTTTACTTATTTTTTATATAACAACAATATACATATCGCCCTTCTTTCTGAAACTTGGCTAAAGCCTTTCAAAAACTTTAATATCAAAGGTTACAATATAGAAAGATTAGACATTGGTAATAATCATAATGGTGTAGCCATTCTAATACAAAACAAATTGAATTATGACAGATTAAATACATATCACGATGATTCTTTGCAAAATATCGCTTTAAAATTATATTTGAAAAATGAAACAATTTCTTTTGTTAGTTTTTACAGCCCTACATCCGCAACGTCACGTAACTTTACACATTTACATTTAGATAACTTATTTAAATCTATCCCGTCACCTATGATAATAGCGGGTGACTTTAACGCCCACAATACCACTTGGGGTTGCTCTAGAACCGATTCTAGAGGCACTATTCTTCTTAATACTATTGAAGACAATGATCTTTGTATAATTAATAATGGTCAACCCACTACTGTAGGCTCTGATATATGGAGTCCAAGTGCTCTGGATCTTACAATTGTTTCTGCCTCTCTGTCACTCCGATGCAATTGGTCTGTACATGATAATCCTTTAGGGAGCTATCATCTTCCAACCATCACCCACCTTTATGTAACACTGTAAATACAAATAACATTTCCATTAATCATAGTAATTTTTTTAGGCCAAATTACAATAATGTAAACTGGCTTGTATACCAAGAGACTATTGATAATAAATTATGTAATGAATTTAATTACGATCCTTCGACCCCTTTAGACTCCTATAAACAAATGTGCAATATTTTAATAGAAAGCATTAACACAGCTAATAATTCACATGGAAATTTAAAACATTCTTTAGTCTGTAATCACAAGACAAGACTCTTTGCCATGGTGGAACAATACTTGTTCTCAAGCAATAGAATTATGTAAGAAAACTTACATAGATTTTAAAAATAATCCCAATCAAGAAAATTACATAAGATTTAAAAGACAACAGGCAATCAAAAAACTTACTCTCAAAAACGAAAGAAATGCCAGTTGGTTAAAATTCTGTGAGTCGATCAATCGGCAAACTCCTCTATCAATTATCTGGAATAAAATGAAAAAATTTAATAAAACATTTAATAACAACTGTTCACTTATATCTTCAGACACTGATTGGATTTCTCCTTTCTTAAGTAAATTTACATCCAAACCGTCAGCCAAAAGTAGACCCAACATACAGGTATCATTAAATAATAATAACAGCTTCATTATAAACCCTTTTACTATAACAGAATTTTACAGTGCCTTAAACAGCAGACGTAACACAGCTTTCGGTCTTGACAATATCTCTTACAAAATGTTAAAGACATTATCATCCAATTCTAAAAACACTTTGTTAATGTTACTTAACTCTCTTTGGAATACTTCAGAAATACCACCCGATTGGAAAACAGATTGTCTGATTCCTATTCTTAAACCAGGCAAATTGATAAATCATTCAGACTCCTATAGACCTATAGCATTAACATCTTGTATGAGTAAACTTTTCGAACAAATGATTAAACAAAGGTTAGAATTTTATATAGAATCAAATAAGTTATTACCTTCAAATCAGTTTGGCTTCAGGAAAGGTTTTTCAGCTACAGAGAGAGCTTAAATCATTTAAACCTAGATATTCATCGTGCTTTTTCTAGTAACAATATACTGGTTTCTGTCTTCTTTGATATAGTTGGTGCTTTTAACAATGTTAATCATCATATTCTAACTAATGAACTGCAAACACTAGGAATACCAGATAAGTTGATTAACTGGATTTTTAATTTCCTACATAATAGACAAGTCTATGTTAAGTACAATAATAATTTATATGGTCCACAATCTTCATATATAGGTGTATGTCAAGGGGGAATATTGAGTCCACTGTTATTTATTTTGTATATTCATAAAATTAATATTATTCTTGGTAATGAAGTCAGCAATTTACAGTTTGCTGATGATTTAGCAGTTTACTGTTCAGGCTCAAATATTCATATAGTAGAAAATAAAATAAACAAAGCTCTAAAGAAATTAAATGTTTATTTTAAATATTTACAATTAGATATTAGTTTAGATAAAACTAAAGTTGTTATATTCAGTAGATCAAGAACTTTGCATGCTAATATTAATTATAATGGTAGCATACTGCCTGTAGTAGCTGAAGCCAAGTTTCTTGGTGTAACATTAACAAAAAATCTATCTTGGAATAAGCATGTCTGTAATATATCTGATAAAGCTTCTAGAGCTTTTAATATTTTTAAATGCCTTTCCAAAACATTTTGGGGGGCTGATCCAAAGATTTTACTTATGTTGTACAAATCCATAGTCCGTTCTCACTTTGAGTACAGTTACCTTTGCTTTGCTTCCAACCCCACACTCTTAAAAAAATTAGAGACAATCCAAAATAATAATTTGCGTCTAATCACTGGTGCAATGAAAACAACTCCAATAGTCTCTCCAAGTAGAATGCAACATTCCATCTCTCTGTCATTAAGATTCAAATTTCTTAAATTTAAATTCTTGTTAAAATTACATAGCTTTTCCAATAATTCACTGTTACAAAAAATTACAGATTCTCAAACCATTGCTTCTTCTTCTAATTCCATAAAATTCCCATACATTCTCCTTGATTTCTCTGCAATGAAATCTATAATTGAGCAAAATAATATTCATGTGGCAAATAATAAGTGGGCATGTTATGAAGGGACATATGACAGTAAATTTTGCAATATGACAATAGAAACAGATAAGAACTTAAATGTAAAGAAGAAGTTTATGAACATCTTTCTCAATTGCCTTCATTTAACACAATATATACAGATGGTTCAAAAAATGACCAAGGTGTGTCATTAGGTTTTTACCATAGCGATATAAAAACTGGTTATGGATTTCGATTACCTACCATTACTAGTATATTCACTGCCGAAGCCTTGGCTATTTTGCAAGCTTTGCATTATATTAACGAAGACATATGCGCTAAACCTCATAATCAGTGGCTTATCATTAGTGACAGCATGTCAGTCTTATCAGCGTTGCAAAATCATTCATTTAGTGCCAAAACAAGCTATATTATTTACCAAATTAAAGAACTATGGACTGTTTTGTTTAATAAAGGAAAAGAAATTATATTTACTTGGATACCGGCACACAAAGGTGTGACAGGTAATGAAGAAGTAGAT